ATATACTTACTAAAGAAAAAAAGATGAAAGTAAAAAATTTTTTTTCTGGGAAAATTTTCGCGTTTTATAGATCTACGTTACTCATGTGAAATATTACATTATTTTGATGGATCGAAAATCAGTTTTTAATTAGATGAAAATAATTTGGCCGATCATGTGAGTTCTTCATCGCAATAAAAAATAAAAGATGGTCGTCACTCAATGGATCTGGAGTAAAATTTTAACTAGTCAAAATTCGAATAAAACCTGGAGCTGCGACCACCAATTTTTTTTGCTCTAATTGGCTAAAATTTAAAATCCGCAATTCGCATAATGAATTTTCAGCATATCGTTACCATTTAATCGTAATAATCACTTCACTTAATGGTAATGCCTGAGCAACGTCTCAGATCACTTTCAAATCACATTAAGGGTGCTGCTTAAGAACGCCTTTAATATCCGCATTCTGCATTATGAGTCTTCTATAAGAATTATTTATAATGCTTGTGCACGATCTAGATCACATTGAGAGAGTTGCTTGAGAACACCCTAAAATTTGGATTGCTATTTGTACGTACCTCCCACTTTTGCTATTCATACCCCTCTCCTATAAAGTACAACGATAATGATGACATAAATGTTCATTAAAATTTGTCTTACATATTATCGCTCAATTCACGTATTAATAATATTGGATGCCACACAACTGTTATGACAAGTGGCTAAATTTTTTTTTTTTTTTTACATGCGGGGGAAGTATGAATACATATAGTATTTTTATTAACTATATTATAGATTTAATAATAACTAGTTCGGATATAGCTTACATTCACATGAATAATATTTTGTATAGCAAATCTTGAGTAATAAGATATATGATCTTCAATAGTAATATTTACATTAATGTACTTACGCTCAGAACAAATGAAAATGATTCAAAAAAGTAGTATTATTAAACAATTTTTTCATTATCATATCAATAGATTTATGTTAATGGATTATAACTACGTAGTAAAGTCGTATTTGTCTTTTTGTACAAAGATCACATGGATGCCCCTTTTTTTCGTAACTTTTCTATTTCATTTTTCCATCGTTCTTGTAAAACCTTAAGTTTATCCCCAAATGTCGATTTCTCATTTTCTCCAAACCACTTTTCCGTTATTATTTTTCCTTCTCTAAACCATTCTTCTAATATTTTTAGTCCATTTAAGCATGATTTTAACCGTGATATCCTTATTTCATCATCATACTCTTCAAACATTCCTTTATCATCTTCATATAAATTATTTAAATGGTCCATAAGTTCTCTACCTACTTCGTCACATAATTTCCATGATCCTATTTTCATAGATGCTGATAACATGATTGTATAAAGATGTACATCAAATTGTGGTACATCATAATATGGCATTAAACCAAAAGTTCTGTATAAGTCATCTAATACTAATTCAGCAACACTTTTATTATCATTTTCAATGTTTTGTGTACTCTCAATATCTTTGTTGGTATTTTCTATGTTTTGTGTACTTTCAACATCTTTGTTATAATTTTCTATGTTTTGTGTACTCTCAATACTTTTGTTAGTATTTTCTATATTTTGTGTACTCTCAACAAGTTCATTTTCATAAGCTAACATAATTAATCTAAACATATCAATATTCGGTTTTAGAGCATACTTTGATCTATCAGCTAACATATTAAATGCAGAATGATGAGCACCGACATCACATAATTTTTTTATTAAAAATGAAGATGTTACTGAAGTTATTGGCAATAATTTTCGACGCCATTGCGCAACGATTCCACAAAGTAATTCAGCTTCTTCTCGTGTTTTTGTAATATAAATTAAATGATTGAGACGAGTGTGACGTGGTAATTCGTGAGCGAGAGTTGTAAGTTGAGTATATTGATTAATATGAGTATACAAGTCATTAAAATTTTTTGTTATTCCAGGAGGTAGATTGGTATTATCATTGTTAGGTGAAATATTTTCTGCATGCTGATGAAAAACAAAACCCTTAGAGAAACTACGAAAACTTTGTGAAAGTCGAAACCTCTGATGAAAGACGAAACCTCTGGAAAAAGACGAAGCTTCCGAAGCGTTAATTAAAGATGAAACTCTAATAAAAAAAGCTGAACTATAGTTGGTAAACGAAACCATCTTTTAATGATTCGAAAGTCGAACTAAAACATTAAAAATATAAATCTCAGCCAACTGAAAGATTGTGAATGTTAAAGCTTGATTAGATGAAAATTTTGATGATCTACATACATATGTGTAACATCTAATGGAAAATTGCTGATTGGACGATAACGATAAAAAATTTGTAAAAAAAAAAATTTTATTAAAGTTGGGTTTGATTTTTGTAAAAATTTAGCCGCGGAGAAGTTAATTAAATGGGTTTCCGTGTTTTTATGTTCCTTCAAAAGTCTTATCATATTATTATGTAGATTATCAGCACATTCAATTTTATAGTTGTTATTAGAAAAAATATATAAATACTGTATCAATAGCTTTTTATTTAATTAATACATTATATAGTGTTGCTTTAATGTTGAAGAATTGATTTCTTATAAAGATTATTATTTATTATTAATAAAAAAAACAATTTATCATCATGCGACACGTGATAGAATTATAACAATTATCAATTCTAAAACCGAACACCACCACCAAGAATAGGAATTAACGGACCACTATTACGCCTATACAAAGGGTTATTATGATACATCATACCAAAATTCGGAATAAAACTTCTTTTATGAATATTATAAGGAATCCTATACGCATTATTAGCGCGTTTGTACATAAATGGTACAAAGTTTTGATTGTGTAGATTATTAGTAGGTATTTCGGCGGATCGAGCAATATGTCCGGGTGCCGTATTCACCTCCTCCGTTGGTGTGGCAGGCAACGGTACGGAATTAACGGGAAGGTTAGTATTCGTAGCAATAGGATTACTTTTTTCGGAAGGAGGTTGTTGGTACTGAGGATTCTTTGGCGAAACACCAAACTTTGGATTCACAGTAGTGGGAGGGGGAGCATTCATACCCGATAAGGGCGTCACGGGAGGAGCCGTCGCCACGGAGGGTGGCAAGGTAGAAGAACGTAATTTTAAGGGAAGAGCTTCTATGGATCGCATTATCGAGATAATTGCAATGAGAAGCGTTGTTAAAAGTGTAATCCATATATTGTGTTTTAACATGATTTATTAAAGAGAATAATGTTTTTTTTTTTTTGACTTTATGAAAAAACTTTTGTGGTAGGCTTATCAATACAAAAAAAAATGAGAAAGTTTATACCATCACGTATATATAACAATCATATTCAACATATTTAACCAGATTGATTTTATCAAAAGTGATCGATGCATCATCGCATCATTAATATCGATATCATAAAAGACTCAAAGCGCATTGCGATTTACATTGATGATTATCAATAAGGTAAAATAATAGCGATAGTACGAAACTTTAACCTCACGTGACAATTGTGACCATGTAAATTGGATCTTTGCTAGGAACATCACTCTGGGATTTTCCGAACGGGCCAATTCGAAAAGACTTAGACCATATGCAAATCATCTTTTACCTTACCCGACGTAACGATAATAGTTTATTAAAAGACGACTTACATATAAATAAGAACTGGTATTCTGGTCTAAGTCTTTCCGAATTGGCCCGTTCGGAAATTCCCGAAGGGTGATTTTCCAAGCAAAGATCCCATGTGATAATAAAAAGTGATCTAGTTATATGCAAGGGGTGTAATGAATTTTTTTTAGATTTAATTTCGATTTCTTTTTTTGATAATGCATAATACTCATGATAAAATGGATACAATAGTTTCTTCACAAATTAAAAATAAAATTAAGAGAGAAGAAATTCATGCCCGAAGAAAGCAAGAAAAAAACCGTCGTAAAATGGAAACGAGGCTGAGACGACGGAAAGAAGAAGTTGGCAATCCAGAAAAAAAAGCGGTACGTATTTTGAATACGTCGCATTAATTCATTTAATTGATGCAAGTATTGAAATATTTGATTATTAAAATTAGGAGCGGTTATCAAAAAATATTCCTAAAACACTTGAAAACACTCGGGAATTAGATGAAACGATTGTTGACCCTGATGATTCTGAAGTTTGCAAAGACGAGGAATCGGATGAATTTTTTACATACTTTCGAGAAGGGATAGCACCAAAAATACTCATAACTACTAGTAAAAGGCCATCGAAGGCTGGATATGAATTTGCATCAGAATTAATAGATGTATTTCCAAACAGTCAATTTATTAAAAGAGAAAGTAAATATTCAATAAAAAGAATCATCGAATTATGTTCGAATCGAGGTTTTACAGATGTTATGGTAATAAGCGAAGACAAGAAAATTCCAAGTAAAGCATATCTATTTATTCTGATATATCCCAAATGAAAACAGAAAAATCATAAAAATTTCCCTGAGCACACTCATTGATAAGTTTTATCTGACTCGTTTATCTCTTTTTTTTTTTTAAAGACTCTATCATTTTAGTTCATTTACCTGAAGGGCCTACTGCATATTTTAAATTATCAAGCATTAAATTAAGCCGCGAAGTCGAAGTATGATGATCAATAATACATTTTGTAATTTAATTGTTCAATTGAGTCTTTCACATGTTAAACGATTTGTGTTTAATCAAACAGGGTCATGGAAGGTCATCATGTCATAAACCAGAATTAATTCTTAATAATTTTAATACACGGCTTGGTCATACTATTGGTCGATGGTTTCAAGCACTTTTTCCTCACGTCCCAGAGTTTCAGGGACGTCAAGTCGCAACATTCCATAATCAACGTGATTTCATCTTTTTCCGACGCCACAGGTATGTAAAATTGCTATTAATTGATATAGAACTTTATTTTTTTTTTAAAAAAAAAAATTTAAATTAAATTAATGCCAAACCATAGATA